GCTGGCCATCAGTGCAACATTAGCATATTCTTCTTCTGATTCAGAAGATGATTCAGATTCATCTGAGTCATCCCATGTTGCCATCAGAACCTTCTTCTTTTTGTTAAACTTCTTCTTGGGTTTTTCTTTTTGAAGCTTGGGGCAATCATTCTTGTAATGCCCTGGTTCTTTGCACTCATAGCACACAACTTCTTTCTTGCCAGATCTTCTGTGCCCAGAAGATTCCTTTCTATGATCAGATCTTTGTTGAACTTCTTTCCCTTGTGCTTCCAGAGTCTGTTTATCCTTCTGGACAACATGGATAATTCATCTTCTTCTTCAGAAGAAGATTCTTCATAGCTTTCTTCAATAACCTGCAAAGCTTTAGCAGATTTATTAGATTTTAAGGCAACAGATTTACCTTTTTCTTTCTTCTGAGGTTCATCTTCCTCAAGCTCAATTTCATGGCTCCTCAGTGAGCTGATGAGTTCTTCTAAAGAGATCTTATTCAGATCTTTAGCCATCTTCAAGGCAGTCACCATTGGTCTCCATCTGGTAGGTAGACTTCTGATGATTTTCTTTACATGATCTGATGTAGAGTATCCCTTGTCCAGAACCTTTAGCCCAGCTGTGAGGATCTGAAATCTGGAGAACATGGCTTCAACAGATTCAGAGTCTTCCATCTTGAAGGCCTCATACTTCTGGATCAGAGCTAGAGCCTTTGTCTCCTTGACTTGAGAGTTTCCCTCATGAGTCATTTTTAAGGATTCAAACATATCACAAGTAGTTTCTCTGTTTGTAATTTTTTCATACTCAGTATGAGAAATTGCATTCAATAATATTGTTCTGGCCTTGTGATGATTTCTAAAATCTTTCTTCTGAGCATCTGTCATAGATTTTCTGTCTATCTTCTTGCCATTCCCATCTGTGGGATGAACATATCCATCTATGACTAGATCCCATAGATCAGCAACATATCCAAGGAAAAAACTTTTAATTCTGTCTTTCCAGTAATCAAATTTCTCCCCATCAAACATAGGGGGTTTGGTGCTGATTTTGTCCCTTTCTTCATATTTATTGTTAATGTTGGATATTGTATTATCAACCATTGTAACAAATAAATATATATCAAAGTATTTCTCCCTGGATCTTTACTGTCACTATTAAGTGGTAGCACACACAGAACCGGAGCTCTGATGCCAACTGAAGGTGAGATAATACTTAGAAGGGGGGTTGAATAAGTATGAAAGATTAAAACTTATAATTAAAACACAATTATTTTTATCCTGGTTCGTTGAACTCAACTACTTCATTCCACCCTTCCTAGAGTGATTAGCCTTTCTCAAACAAGGACTTAATCCACTATTTAATCAAACAGATTACAATAGTAACACCTAAGAACAACTGTTATTAGTCTTCTCAAGAGCTACTGATTCCAACTGAATCCTCTTAAGGAAATCATTTACAATTAATGTAAATCTAATACAAGAGTAAGAATGCTTCTAAAAAGCTTTTATCACAACAATGATATTTCTCTTAAGTTTAAGTACAAATAATTCTAAGAATGAATATGAAAGTATGAGAGCTTGAATGTTATAATTTCTTTTCAGCAAAATGTCTAACTGAAGAATTTGGTGGAGTTTTCCTTTTATAGGCAGCTGATCCAAGGTGAGCTGCACATTGAGAAGAGTGTCCCAAAAAGGTCTGAGCCTTTTTGTCCTCACATCAAGTGACATTTCCTAGAAGAAGAAAGCACAGAAAAATCCTTTTTGTCTGTGTTCTTGTGTCTAGCACAAATAAAGAAAGAGACGTTTGATTTACTCCAATGGATATAATCTTTGAATATTTCTTCTTCAGTTTTCAGCAAGTTCATCAGAGTCTGAATGGGTCAGAGTCTTCTAATGATGATCAGAACTTTGTTGTATCAGAGTCTTCTGCAGCATGTGTGCTTTCAGCGTGTTAAATATCAAAGCATATTTGAAACAGAACTTCAGTACTGGCAGCTTTAGTACTTTCAGAATCTTCTGTAGAAACTATGCTTTGAAAAAACTCTTCATACAATATTCTTCTTGCTTCAGATGCTTCTGACTTGCTTCAGATCCTTCTGGAGCTTCTGCTTCAGATTCTTCTTGAGCTTCTTGCTTCAGATCCTTCTGGAGGCTACGCTCAGGATCTTCTATTGGCAGCAATCAGAATCTTCTAATGACTGCATCTGGCGCTACAGAGTTTAGCTAATTTCTTGTATTCAGTTCAGATTTGCTTCTGGAGTGTTAATTTCTTTACTATCTGCAGTAAAAACTCTCCAGCAAATTTTAGAGTATATAATTCTTAAATACAAAATTTCCTAATAGTTATCATCAAAACATAGAGATATTATTAAGAACCAATCTGTGTTCTAACACTTCACTCAATGGAGAAAAATATATTGTCAACCTTTACAAGAAAGAATGCTCATGTAGATTATGGATGTTGACTGGACTTCCTTGTTGTCATGCAATGTCTTGCATGAAAGATAAACATTTGGAGATTGATGACTTTGTACTTGACTGTTACAAGAAGGAAAAATATGTTGTTTGTTATGCACATGTGATATATCCACTTAATGAGGAAGCCTTGTGGGCAAAAGACTAGTGTTGTTGATCTTCAGCCACCACCAATAAAGAGGCAACCTGGAAGGCCAAAGAAAAAATGGAATACGGAAGCTAGAGAGATGGTGAGGGATGAGACACACATGAAGAGGGAAATATATGATATAAAGTTGTAATCGTTGCCACAAGGATGGTCACAACAAGGCCACTTGTAAACTACCACAACCACAAGTTAGTTCAAGTCAAGTACAAGATCCAACAAGTCAACAACCATCACAAGCTAATTCAAGTCAATCACCACCAATTACAACAAGTCAATCACCATCACAAGTTGTTACAAGTAAACCACCACCACTTGTTGCAACAAGTCAACCACCACCATAATCTGTTACAAGTCAACCACCACCACCTGTTGTTACAAGTCAGTCAGCCACCAAAACTAAGAAAAAATTACATAAGGGTGGCAAGCCTGTTTCAAGCCAACCATGACCAATATTATTATATTTACTAGGATTTTGTAATTCCAATTAATGGCCTGACTTTTTTTTAATGGTCTTTTGATTTTGAACCTGTTATGTAATGCCTTACAAAGGCTTTTTGGTATATGAACTTGTTACGTATTGCCTTTTAATGGCCTTTTGGTTTTGAACCTGTTATGCAATGCTTTACAATGGCCTTTTGGTATTTGAACATGTTATGTATTGCCTTATAATTTCCTTGTTTTATTGAACCTGTTGTGTATCAAATATTGAATCTGTTATTGAATGTTGGAATGGTTATTGAACCTGTTATGTATGAAACTTTGAAACATGTTTTTGAACCTGTTATGTATCAAACATGTTATTGAATTTGTTATGTATCAAAATATTTTATTGAACCTGTTAAGAAATATTATTCAATGGGCTTCATATTTTACAGGTTGGATATTGAGACATTATTCAATGAACCTGTTATGTATCAAACATGTTTGAACAACTTATATTACAGTTTGTTTCCACAAATATTGGGCATTGGCCTGCATATTTTACAGGTTGGATATTGAGACATTATTTAATGAAAATGTGAAAACATAACACAAATATTATTCATTGAAACAATATAACAGAACATTATTCATTAAACAAACTCATCAATTTGTTACAACATAACAGTACATTATTACAAACATAAAAACATAACTTAGAACTATCCTAAAACTAATTGAGATACATTTTTACAAACACAAGGTTCAACCCTAAGCTTACAATCCTAACAACAATGGACATTTTGAGCCACCCTCGAGTGTACATAACTTCATTCTTCAATCTGTTAATTTTCTTCTTTTGTATTTCAAGCTTCAAATCCCTTTCATCAAGAAACTCATCACCCAACTACTTGAAAAAATTACAACCCTTTTCAATGTGGTTTCTGTAATTTCTACAACTCCAGAATTTTCTCCCCTTATTGACACTGTTCACATCATTCACTGTTCTAAGAACACTTTCATTTTGGCAAAAGCACTAGATCCTCTTGTTTCTATGAATCAAAGACCCAGATGTGCCATAGCTATGGTTGTTTGAAGTTGGCGCATTGTTTTCACTCTTTGACATTGCTTCAACCCTAATTCTCAAATTGCAGAAGAAACTGGAAGATAGTAAAATGAAATTGGAAGAAAGGGATTTGACTGAAGATGAAAATGGAATAGGTTGAAATATGGAACACGGATGAAGAAGAATGGTGGAAGAAGAATGAAGCAACAACAGTGGAATATGGAATCCTATGTAAGGCAACGTATATCTATGTTGATGTGGAATCTTACTTGGCATGTCAGCTCACATAAACTAACGTTTTTTGTCACAAACTAACGGAATGGACCAAAGTGTTTAACAGAACATAAATTAAAGGATCAACATGTAACATCTTTTAGTTTGGGGACCAAAGCGAAACTTTGCTCAAAGTTAAGGGACCCAATGACTAATTATGCCTTCTATTTTTAATGCTTTTTGTCAAGTCCTGAAGCTAAGAGTGAGAAACATTATATATTCGGTCAAATCACACAAATATTTTTAAATTAGTAGTATGACATAACACATTAATAAATTTTTATTGAATTATAATTAACACTATTTTATATTGTTTTTGTATATCTAATAAACTCTAACTTTTTATAAATATGTATAAAATTAATTTGATTTATCTGTTTTAGACAAAGATAACTGAAAATTAGATTATTTGAATACAACTTTGAGTCATTTTAATTAGTGAAATACAAATCACACAGATATCAACAAAATTGTTGAGACAATTCTTAATGATCAAATATTCAATTCATACATACATTGTTCCAAAAATATATTCAAATCATACAGTGATCATAAAAACCAAAATACATAGCATCATAATAATCTATACACATTACATTTTGCATGATTCAAGAACAAGTAAAAAATGTCTTCAAGTTGCTGAAGAAGAAGGTGGTCCAGAGGGTTTAAAAGCAGCTTGTTCAGCACAAGAGAGAATTTCGTTAGGCCCTGCCTCTTCTCTACCAACTCCCAATAAATCAAGGTAATAAAGATAATGAGAAATTATGTTATTCATTCCATCATTATCAGAACCTTGACCACAAACTTGATCACCATATAAAACATTGATTGTGGCACCAAATCCAGGTACCCTTTTGGACAATGTGTCATTTTTTGTTGGCTTCCAGTTTCCAACAAAAACATCATGGGCTGATGGTATGTGCTTCTCAGGTGGTGTCATCCATTTCCATAGTGCTGCTTGGAATGCCAATGTTGCATTTTGTTCTATGTATTCTGGATGGTTTAATAGATCCACCTTCAAGGCTTCCCCAGTTTTCCCATAGTTGTAATTCCTATCATGAAAGATAACACAAGAATTACAATTATTAGTCCGATCATGCAAAACAGACACAGATACACACAACACTGACGTAATCATATATATTGGCCTCAGATACTGAGATATGTCAAACATCAACCACGTCTTTGGTCAGAGGTATCAGTGCTAGAGGGACTTCTTACCAGTAAATTGGTATGGCACCACGGCCATAGTATGCTGCGCCGGGACTACATGGATAGGTTAATTTGTAGTAGTCATCACAATAAAATTGATCAGGACTCAACTCCTTATTATAGCATAAGCCCCATGCAAAGGGTCCACCAGTAGCTACACCATAACCACCTGAAAAATATACATTTCAAGAAAACATCACCATATATTTCATCATGTAATGAAAATTAATGCCAAACTATAAACACTTACAAGAGGTTTTGCTTCCAACATGTCCAAGAAAAGCCGCAACTTCTTTCTGTCCACCATGTTTTCCACCAGAAGTACCAAATCCAAGAGGCTGATAAAGTGCAGCAGCGGTAATAAAAGAACGATAGTCCCAAAATCCAACAGCATGCGCCGTTGGATCATTCCTCTTTGAGAACAAATTCTCAAATTGGTAGGTTTGAAGATAATCAGAGATGGTTTCATTGCAACAATACACAGACCAACCTTTACATTCCCAACCTTTGTCACATAGCTTCTTTCCCTTTACTATTTTCACCAATGGTTTCTCTGATGATATTGATTGTGTTTTTGATATTACTAACATTGTTGAAATGGTTAGCAGAAAAAATATCCATTTGGAATTCATCTTTTTGTTCTTCTTTGTGTTATTTGTGTAGCTTTTGGAAGTTATATTTATGTGAGTTAGAAAGAGAGTTCTAGAGATTGTGTGTGATGTTAAAGTGAAAAGGATGGAAAGTGAGATTTGAACTTGTTAGGAGGAACAGATTTTCAGAGTGGAATAGGTGTAGCTTTTGCTTCCATTTTCATACATGTTTTGAGTAGAAGGAAAGTAAACACATTGCTTTCATTTTTATCTGTGGAAAGAAATACTTGGTGAATGAGAGGGATGCAGTTTACCAACACGGTATTTAAGCAAATGGGTATCAAGATCAAACAAATAATATTTATTTGATATTTATCTTCTCTCAATTGTAATTGCATATTTTAATTGTCTCACATCATTTTTTTAACAGCTAGCAAGTTCATTAGTTAGATAAGAAGGAATGTTATAATTAGGGGGTGATAACATGGATGAATTGAATGGATACGAATTGAATTGTTAATAGAGGAATCAAAACAAAACAAAAATCACTTTATACCAGTGTATTTATCCCCACACCTCGACAAATTAAAAAATTGGACCAAAATATCCCTGTATAAATATCTATAATTTCAAAATTTTCACTATTTCCTCATTTTATTCTAGCTAGAGCGTGAAAACATTTTCTTTTCATTTGACTTTTGAAAACCCAACACTAAGACTACTGATTCACTAAATTTCAACACCGAAGAACTAGAGAGTGGGTTATCCGGTTAGTATTTGTGATGTTTACACACTAGATAACTTGGGGTATAGTTATTTGGTTCTTATTTGTTTCTCACTGGATAACTTGTTATTATGTTATCAAATTCTTATTTGTTCCTCACTGGATAATTGTCATTATGTTATCCGGTTCTTATTTGTTCTTCATCGGAGAACTTGGTTGATTGTTTAATTTTTCGATTTGTTGAATTTTGACTTTATTTGGTGACTCACATTAGAGGACGCGACAAGCACATTTATCAACGCTATGGTGAAGGATGGAAAACTCAATAACCGTCGAATCGAAAGGAAGATCAGATAGTTGAACTTTTGTTGCGTCCACTGCATCACCATTAATAAAACTAAAAGAAAAATTAAAAATATGCGTTCTGGATCTTTTATTATCAATAAGTTTGGTGATTAAAATACACAAATCAAAACTCTTCTTTATAAGTTATACGGTGCTTAAAAAACACAAACCGAAAAATCCTTCTTTACAAGTTATCCAGTTAAATAATGTGAACCGGATAACTAATCAACAAGTTATCCAATATGATAAATTTAACAACTGAGTTTCATCCCGTTTGATAAAAAAAAACTAACCGGATTTCTTTACTTTAAGTTATTTGGTTTGTGTCATATACTCCCAACAATAAGTTTTGACTTATTTGACTGGAGAGTAAAAAATAAAATAAAAAATTAACAAGGATAAATTTGAAATATTTGTAAAATTGTTAGGGTACGTGTGAGGTATGGGTTAAAATTTTCTCAAAATAATTCATTAGTTCATTAACAATCCAATAAAAAATTTTCAAAATTATTCAATCTAATACATCCATTAAACAAAAATTCATCAAATTCCTTCATTGACATATTTTTAGTGGATGGATATCCATCCATTCAAAAAATTGTTTTTTATTTTCAAAAAAAATTTTTTTTTTTTTAAAATTCAATTTTTTTAAATTTTCAAAAAAAATCAAATTTTTTATTTTTTAAAATATTTTATTTTTTATTTTAAAAAAAATCAAATTTTTTATAATTTTCGAAAAACCATCAATTTTTTATATTTAAAAAAATCATATTTTTGGAAGAAAAAAAATAGATTATTGATATTTTCGAAAAAAAATCTTTTCTAATATATTTGTGAAAAAATTGATTTTTTTTCGAAAAAAATCATTTTTTTTTGTATTTTCTGGAAAAAAAATCGAATTTTAGTATTTTCCAAAAAAATTGATTTTTTAATTTTCGAAAAAAAAATATTTTTTTTTTGAAAAAGAATTCATTTTTAACAAAACAAATTTAACAGAGATAAAAATAATTCATTGGATCATTAAAATATGTTAGATGGATTTAATACAATCCATTAATTTACTTTTTATGTGGTGGATGGATTGAATGAATTTTTTAGTGGATAGATTTGATGGATTTTGTCTTAATGGATCCAATTGCCACCCCTAGTTATAACCCATTTACAAAACAAAAAAGTTCAAAGAAAATTTCCCACCAACAACAATTACAAAGTTAAACAATATAAAGGATTCAAACACATTTTTTGATAGTTAACGTTGGAATACTGAATATCTCCTATTATCGACCATTTCCAAACCAAAAATTTGATGAGCCAAATGATGTTATTTAAAATCACACTTTACTTCGTTAAAATAACATCGTTTCTAAATTTTCGAAGACCCTAAACAACCGTCAACCAAATAATGTTAATGATTTCTTATTAGATAAGTTTTTAAAGAAAGACCTCCACCATAAGTAAAACTTTCAGGAGAGATCAAAAACACTTATCTTGAAGCCAATTCAAGAACCAATTTGTTTCTAAACTATTTGAAGGGAAATCGCAATCCAAAACGCAATGAAAATTAAAAAAAAATTATTTAGTGATCCTTACAAATGGACATAATCAGTGATAAAAACGGTTACCTCTTGTGGCTATAAAACCTTTGAATCGAAGGAGTGATCACGAGCGTTCAATGATGAACAACGCCTCTACCCATTCCACACAAACATATTTCTTTAGTCTCAATGTTAGCTGTTACGATTAAAGGCTTTGAGTTAGAGAGAGAGAGAGAGAGAGAGAGAGAGAGAGAGAGAGAGAGAGAGAGAGAGAGAGAGAGAGAGAGAGAGAGAGAGAGAGAGAGAGAGAGAGAGAGAGAGAGAAGAAAAATACGGTCAGGGTTTCACAGACCAAATTTTAATCAAAATTCAATGCTTCTGCACAAGGGTTCTATTTATAGAACCACTTGTGTGGGCTACAAGCTAAAAAGTCCACTTAAATGCACGTGCACCATATCTTATGGTGTATCGTATATCACTTAAGTGTGTGGTACCTTACCATATTTTGTATTCTACTTAAGTGCATCGTACCTTACGATGTTCTATATTTACTTAAGTGCACCGTACCTTACGGTGTTCCTTATTTACTCTACCTCTTATCAATCTGTCCTTATGTGTGTGACCCTGTAGGTTTTTGCGATGTTGACAATTATATTGAATCACGCATTTAACATAATAAACAGTGAGCAGTATCTAGAAACACATCACTGTTACCCAAGTCACAAAAATTTCATGTGATCTGACAAAACCTTTTGTGATAATACTTATGTATACGATTACCCTTTTACCTTTTTGTCTATATTGAACACAAGGCATATGTCGTGTCATCCTTGTCCAGTTCAATATTGGGCCCTTAGACATTTATCCTGTTATGCAGGATGAGCAAATTTCATCTAGGTCACTCATGTCCCTTAGCATGCTTTATGGAGTACCCATCAATTGTCTTTATGGTCATCCAATTATGGACAATGTTTGATCAGCAATAACATACTCGACTCTACATCTAGGGCCCATAGTGGTTTTAAGTCGGAGGGTGGTATACACCACTATCACCATGAGAGTAGCTTACGACACTTTGCATAATATTTTATGTAGTAATCTCATAGCAGGTTAAACCAGTATAAATATTACTCATAATATTCATACCTATGTTAAGACTTGATAACTCCTTATCCATGATCCATGAGATGTGATCAGTCTATCTACATAATAGTCTTAATGCTTTAAGGTTATCCCATTTCATAATAAAGCTCAACTACAGATACTTTAAGAATTGTGTCCTTACATTTAATAGGATCTCATGATTAAGTCACACTTAATATTTCATTAAACGGACTAGCTATTCTAGAGACTTTATTATTTTGGAAAAACAAACATAATAAAAAAAAATGTCTTTTATTAATAAATAATTTGATACAAGTACCAAAAATATTAGCCTCTAGAGCTTACACCAACATTATTTTCGACACCGAAAAGTCGAAGAACAAGTGGTTAAAGTCCTCTTCTACACTAAAGGCACATCGCACAAACATCTTCATTAGGTACTAAACAAAGACCACGCTTGAATGGTGAGGTAAGTGAACCTTGTCCTTAATTGGGAAAAATGCCATTTCATGGTCAGACAAGGCATCGTTTTAGGACACGTCATCTCTGAAAAGGGAATCGAAGTTGACAAAGCTAAAATAGAGATCATAAAGGATCTCCAACCTCCGAAAACCGTACGAGAAATACGAAGCTTCTTAGGACACGCTGGATTCTACCGAAGATTCATAAAGGATTTCTCGAAAATCACAAAACCTCTTACAGGTTTGTTAATGAAAGATGCCGAGTTCATCTTCGACAAAGAATGCTTAGAGGCATTCGAAAATCTAAAGTCAGCGCTTATCACCGCACCAATCATGCAACCCCCAGATTGGCGACTACCATTCGAAATCATGTGCGATGCGAGTGATTACGCCGTAGGCGCAGTTCTAGGATAAAGGAAGGACAAGAAGCTTCACACTATCTACTACGCCAGTAGAATATTAGACCCTGCCCAAATGAACTACGCCACAACAGAAAAGGAACTCTTAGCAGTCGTTTTCGCTCTTGACAAATTCCGTTCCTACTTGGTAGGAGCCAAGATAATCATATACACAGACCACGCTGCCATTAGGTACCTAATAAGCAAAAAAGACGCCAAACCCAGATTATTGAGATGGATCCTATTATTACAAGAGTTCGACTTAGAAATTAAAGATAAGAAGGGGACCGAGAACGTAGTTACAGATCACTTATGCCGTATAGAGGGCATAAAACAAGAACCAGTGCCTATCAATGACGATTTTCCCTACGAACGTCTGATAGCCAAATTGGAAAGCGATATGTCTAACTCTACTTCGGAAGAACTGGAACTGGAAAAAGCCGTGGAAGCTGTCTATACCCAAGCCACTCTACCG